TACTTCCGTAGTGATACTGCCTCAGAAACCCAAGGAGGGGTCGCTATGAGTCGGGGCCGACTCGACGGCACATAACAACAACAACAACAACAACCCATTAAGCAGCTTTACCCCACTTGTGGAACCAAGTAATATGAAATCTTTGACAACTTCGACCTTTTCTTGTGATGCTGCGTATTGGTCCAGTTGTGAGGATTTTCGTTTTCTTTATGTTGAGGTGTAGTCCATACTGCAGACTGTAGTCTTAGTATCCCCATTTTACAGATGTGGAAACTGAGCCTAAGAAAGGCTACGTAACTTGCCCTCGTCACACAGCTGCTTAGACAAGCATAATTGACAGAGAATTATTGAGAATCTGCTATGTATGTGCCAGGCCTGTGCCCAGTCTTTGGGCATCCAGAGGTTATTCAAACAAACATGTTCTTGATCCTGAAATTGCTTCTGATCCAGTGGGAAAGATGTATGCTGAACAAGTGGTTATAAATAAGTAAATAATCATATGACTGCAGAGTGCTGGGAAGGAGCCGTAACTGGAGCTGGGCTGAATGGGGGACGTGGAGGGACCATCTGAGAGTTAAGTTGAGGCCTAGAGGAAGAGGAAGGACCCTGGTGGCACAATGTGCTCCGCTGCTAACTGAAAGGTTAGCAGTTCAAACCCATCCAGCAGCTGATGGGAGAAAAGACCGACCATCTGCTCCTATAAAGATTACAGCCTAGAAAACCCTGTGGACAGTTCTGCTCTGTCCCACAGGGTCACGATGCATCAGAATTGACTCGATGGCACCTAACAATGACAGCAACAGAGGAAGAGGAGGAGCTGCTAGAAGGAGGGAGTGCTGGCATGAAGCACATTCCAGGCAGAGAAACAGTAAATGTGTCAAGGCCGGAAGTGGGAGGAGAGAGAGGACAAGCCTGGCCCAGTGTGGCTGGTGGGGAAGAGAATGGCTTGACAGTGGCAGGGAGAAGTAGAGAGGGGATTGTCCCTTTGCAAAAATGTTAAGGTTTCAGATTTACTTCTAAGGGCAATAGGGAGCCATGGATGGCTTTATCCCACCCATGGAAAGTAACATTACTAGCTCAACTCTCAGGGATCCTGATTTCCAGGTTGAGGGGGAGCAGTTATTGCAGCTTCCAGGTACTGATTTGTTTTATGTATTGTTCTATACCTGTGTGTCCTCCCTAATTGGACCTTGAGCTCCTGGGGCCAAGGACTGTCTTAATCACCCCTGTATCCACAGGACACATAGCACAGGGCCTGACACTGAACTGAATTGAATTGGGGTAGAAAAAAAAAAAATAGGTGTAAGCACTGATAAGGGCACCTGCCTGCACCTGAGTGGTAACTCCTACTTGGAGGGTTCAAACCCAGGCTGTACCCCTTATTGTCTTCGAGCCATTCACCCCCATTATCAGCCTTGTTTTATTTACCTGTGGAATGGGTATAATTAAGGTACCTATCATATAGGGTTCGGGAGCTCTGGTAGCATAGTGGCTAAGACACTTGACTGCTCACCAGATGGCTGGTGGTTCAAACCCATCAGCCACTCCTCGGAAGGAAGGTTGGGCAATCCTACTTCCGTAGTGATACTGCCTCGGAAACCCAAGGAGGGGTCGCTAGGAGTCAGGGCTGACTCGACGGCACATAACAACAACAACAACAAGTCTCCACGGTCCTGCCACCCAGAGCAAAGCGGGAGCGGGGGTGTGGCCACGGGGTGGGCGGGGCGACCTTGGAGCCCGCCCCTTGAGCGGGGTGGGCGGGGCGAAGCGGACAGGACCGACGAGCGCGCGCGCGCGAGGCGGCCCCAGGTACGCGGACAAGATGGCGGCGGCAGCGGTCGACAGCGCGATGGAAGTGGTGCCGGCGCTGGCTGAGGAGGCCGCGCCGGAGACAGCGGGCCTCTGCTGTCTCGTCAGCTTGCCCGGTGAGGTGCTCGAGTACATCCTGTGCAGCGGCTCGCTGACGGCCGCCGACATCGGACGCGTCTCCAGCACCTGCCGGCGGCTGCGCGAGCTGTGCCAGAGTAGCGGGAAGGTGTGGAAGGAGCAGTTCCGGGTGAGGTGAGCCTGCGGCCCCGGCCGCCCGCCCGCTCCGGCCCCGCCTCCGGGCGCCACGGCGCTCCCCGAGTCCCCGAGCCCGTGGCCCGCGCCCCCCGGCTCTGCGCCCCCTGGGGCCCGGGCCTGCGTAGCCTAAGCCGCCGCCACCGCCTCCCTCCCCGCGGCTACCACGCCAAGACCCCACCCCCGGTCTCCTTCCCGCGGACAGACAGACAAACAAAGGCCTCCAGGCCGCCAGCCCCGCGAGGCCACCCCGCTGCGGACCCTCCGGTGCCCAAATTGCGCGTCTGGAAGCGCCAGCCGACTGGCCCTCCATAAAGGATGACGATAGCAGTGTCACCGCTGATGCGTTTTGCGCGCTTCTTTTGTGCCCGAGTCTGTGCAAAAATGTTTACATGGATCGAGGAACGCAGTGGTCCTAATAGCCCTTGGAGGAGGCGGGCGCAGCATCCCCTGGTTGTTTGTCGAGAGCGGAGATTTCGATGTTGCGCCCGGGCTAAAAATCTCGGCCCTGCCGCTTGCTCACTAATGACCTTGGGGCTGGCAGCTTCCCTTTTTTTTTTTTTTTTTTTTTGAGCCTTATTCGTGGACTTTTGAATGGTGATAATGAGACCGACCTCTTACTGTGGTTACTAAATGAGAGGATGTATGGAAGCACTTCCAAAGGCCCAGCTCTTAAAAGCTCTCAATACCTGTTAACAGTTATTATTATTATTGTTGCTACTATTGCCCCCATTTTGTAGATGGGGAATGGAGACGCAGTATCGCTGTCGCTTCGCCAAGGTCACACTGTGAGTGCCTGGTGGCGATTTGAATTGGGGCCATCTCCAGGACCCGTCCTTAGCACTAAGTCATCCTGCTTCCTCGTTTCCCAAGGCTGCCTTTGCTCCATGTCTGCCTGCCTGCCTGCCTTTGCAATCTCAAGTCCCTGCCGAGCTGAGACAGTGTTTCTCTCCTTGTAGGTGGCCTTCCCTTATGAAACACTACAGCCCCACCGACTACGTCAATTGGTTGGAGGAGTATAAAGTTCGACAGAAAGCTGGGTTAGAAGCCCGGAAGATCGTAGCCTCGTTTTCAAAGAGGTTCTTTTCAGAGCACGTAAGGAGCGCTAAGCCTTTCCTGGTGATCCTGTATGTCTGGGTCTGTAGGAATTAGCTCATCCAGTTCTTTTTGATTATCTCCCTTTTCAACTCTCACAAGCCTGGGCTCAGATGGCTAGAAGAGTCATTGTGTGCTTTTCCTGCTAGCCACCAACATGAAGTCATTTGTCCCTGCCAGTGTTACTTTTCTAAAGCCAGAGAGAATGGGGGTGGAGGAGGGCTGGTGGGAGGGAGGGAGGGAAGGACACGAAGCACAATGTGGAGGCAGTATTTCTCTTCAAGTGGGTTAAGCATGTTTTTTGCAATCTTTCGTGATTTGGGGGCTCACCCATGATTGACCATTACAAATTTCCACCAGTTGTTTTCCCCAAAGGGTGCATGAGATGTGTTTGGGCTTCTCTCTGGCTTTGCAGATTCTAACCAGTAGTGAACAGCATTGTTTGTTAAGTAACCGAAGAATTAAAAGCTACATGTAAATCAGAATTATTACTCCTGCAATAAAACTGTCGTGCATCCATGATCCCTTTGAAGGTCTTTTTTTTTAAAAAAATTTTTTTTGGGTTTTTTGGTTTTTTTTTTTGTTATTGTTTTTTGATACCCCTTTCTCAAAATGTCTCGGTGCCATTTCTCTGTCCCCAGCTCCCAACTCATACCTTTTGGTAACTCAGAAAAATGGCCCGCAGTCATATTGTAAATTCATCAAACTATTAGATAATTTATTTCGATTTGGAGCCCAGACATAGAGCCAGTCTGATTTATTTTAATGTCCTGGTTTACTGAAGATTAATTCCTGTTTTCTAGTCTTTCATGACTGCTAATGAGTGGACTTCATAAATTTGAAATGTTTTTAAGGCTTCAAGTTTTGATAGGGAAAATTTGAACTTTGGGCAAATTTGGATGTCCCCCATGGAAAATATAAATAGATACTCTCTAGTATAATTCTATAAATAAATGTTTATTAATGTTAGAGTAGACAGAATTTAGTCCTGTTTTGGAGGGGCCGTGGCCTCGGTACAGGGATTCATTATCAGGAGTTTAATTTCTGGTATGCATGGGTTTTTGCACGTTGATCTTGGTGCTAGATTATTTGATTCAAGGGCTCCTACCAGTTTGCAGCCTCATCTTCTAATGCAGTTGGCTTTGTGTATGTGTTTAACTGTGCCTTTCTCCACTAATGATGACTTAGTATTAGATGTAAAGCAAGGACTGTGAGCATAGCTGGAGTGTATTAAAGATTGATCGGTGGGTGAGTGATTACTTTGATCTGAAATTTCCAGCTACTTTCAAAAAGGAAAGTGGTAGAGGAGTTTTACACTGAGGCAATCTTAAAGCTCATTTGTAACACCCCCTCAATTTACAAAGGAGAAAATCTGCCTGGTGAGGGGGTGGTCTTAACCTCTCTGGGTCTCCACTCCTAGTTGAGCACTACCTGTATGGCATGAAATTGTTACCCTGAATTTTGAGATTTCATATCTCTAGTCCTCCTTTCAAAGGACCTCTGGTGGCACAGTGCCTAAGGTATTTGACTGCTAACCAAAAGGTTGATGGTTCAAACCC